CTGGAGGGCGAATACAGAGACACAGGATGGTCTGTCTGTTCACTTGGGGTCTCTGTGCTAGTGGACTTATTCTCCTCCCTTCCTTCCTTCCTAGGGTAGAAGGGTTTACTTCATTGCTTTCTTCTGACAAAAAATGGTGTCAGGTAGAAAAGGATTCAGCAATGAGCTCTATTGTTCTGTCTGCTGGAGGTGGGGGGAGGGCAGACAGAGGGTAATGCCTATGGTTTGGTCTAGAATGTTGTGTCTTCTTCTCTCACTGTGGGCAGAAGGGGCATGGTGGGAGTGTGGTTAGTGTGGGAAATGGAGAGTTGGTTGGTCTGTGAGCTTTCTTTAAATGGAGACTTTGCGAGGAGTGTTTTTGTTCCAGCTCTGTATGACCCTGCACAAATCTGCCTTAGTAGGTGCCATGGCAGCTTAGGAAGTGATCAGATTGAAGCCTAAAGTCACCAAAGCCCAAGAAGGTGCCACAACTGATGTGATTTTGTTGAGCGCAGGAGTCTAGAGAACTTTTTAGATCCCAGAGGTATAGACAATATACAGAGAGAGCCTAGAATCATAGAATATTGGAGCTGGTAGGTATCATCTAATCTAACCCTAGTGTTCATTTTATAGACAAGGAAATGGAAACCCAAGTGACTAAGAAGTGACTTACCTAAGGTCACAATTAGAGCTTGAATCTGCAGCTAGGATGCGGATCTCTGGATCCCCAGGCTAATATTCTTTTCACTGTATCAGGGCTCTTAACCAATCTGTGTTCAGAGGGTCTGTAAACATGGAGGAGGGGGAATTTATTTCTTTTGCCATCCTATATCTTTTATTTTATGCATTTAAAAACATGATTCTTAGGATCCATACACTTCACCACCTAACAAAGGGTCTTTGACCAAAAAAGGTTGTTTTTTAGTCATTTTTTGGTTGTGACTGACTCTTCGTGATCCCTTTTGGAGTTTTCTTGGCAAAGACACTGGGGTGGTTTGCCCTTTCCTTCTCCAGCTCATTTTACAGATGAGGCAAACAGGGTTAAGTAAGTTGCCTAGGGTGACATATCTAGAGAATGCCTGAGGCCAAATTTGAACTCTGAAAGAGGAATCCTCTTGACTCTAGGTTCATATGCAGCTAGATGTTGTAGTAGACAGAGTGCTTCACTTGGAATCAGGAAGACCCAAGTTCAAATTCTGCCTCAGACACCTAATAGCTGTATAACCCTAGGCAGGTCACTTACTCTATGCCTGCCTGAAATGCCTCATCTGCAAAATGGGACTATAATAATAGTCTTTATCATGTGACTTCTTATGAAGATCAAATGAGATGATATGTATAAAACCACTTTGTAGACCTCCAATAGCTACATAAATGTTAACTCTTATTGTTTTATAAAGCTGACTCTGTCACAGGCTGTGGAATGGGGACTGGGTCTCATTTGGTATCTGGGATGGCTCTGGCATTGAATCTTGAGTGTATTACCTGACAACCAGGGCCAGGGACTGAGTTGAGTTGATTTGGGGGAACTTCTGCCAAGCCTGAGCCTGAGAATCTGGGTAAGAGTGGTAGAGGGTAAGGGGGCAGAGTTCTACCGCCGGGTTCGAGGTTCGAGAAAGGACCTGAATGTCTCTCTACCTTCCTTCCCACATAATACAATGATCCTTTCACCCCGCCAGGCTCCTTGGGTTGTTAGACAGAAGGGAGAGTTAGGCTGTTAAGCTGGTGGTCAAGAGTTTGATTAACTGAACCCGCCTTCAAACTTTTTAATGAAAAGTAAACAAACTCCTTTTCCCATTGCTTACCACTCTGTGCTCCCACACAATTTCAGTAACCAGAGTTCCTAACTTTTCTCTCCTGTAAAAAACTGATCTTGCAGATTCCTGTGGAACATGTCAAATGTGCAAAATCTTTGTTGATTTATTTTGCCTCTAAATCCTCAAGTCCAGTGATAAAGAATGGGAAATGCAGGAATCTGTCACTTGTCTACCCTGTGAAAGCAGGCAGTAACCAATACTAGTTTTGGCCTCTTCCCTAGATTTCTTTGGAATTGCAAAGACATGGTAACCTGGGCAGCTCCTATTTATGTAGATCTATCTTAAAAGACATCTTTCTATGGATTCCAAATAAAGTTGAATCAAGAAAAATAGCCTCAGTCCACCCTTGCTGTGGCAAAAAACTATTCTGGTTTAAAAATTTCAATGGAATCAGAGGGCCTGAGCTAAATCTGGGCTCTGCCTGTTGCCATCTATGGGCCTCAAATTCTCAATTTCCTCATCTGCAAAATGATGAGTTTGGACTCCATGACTTTGAAGGCCCCTTCCAGCTCTTAATCTATAATCCTGAGTTAATTTCTTTGGAAAAGATAAAATTGGAGAAAAAAATGTTCTATTAGTACTCATGATATCATTCCCTCTCTCTGCCCCCAGCCTTTACTGATTGGCTATACAAATTCATAAATAAGCCTTTTGGTTTGAATATCATAAGTCTGATATTATTTTTGATGGTTTAAATAAATGAATTCTTTTAAAAGTTTTGAATAAGGCATAGTGGAAAATACACTGGATTATGAGGCAGGAGGCAGGTTCTGATCCTGACTCTGCTGCTAATTTGCTGTGTGACCTGAGGTAAATTATTTCACTTCTTCTACTTATCTTTTAAAAATGGGATCAATAATAGCATTGTGGTTCACTGGAGAATGCACTGGCTCTAGGATCAGAGAGCCTACCTCTTAAGTTTGCTACTTGTGTGATTCCTGTGTTTATACTTGTGTGAGCTCCAGGGGCCTATATTTTCTCATCTATAAAATAAGGGTGTTGGTCTGATTAAGGGCCTCTGAGTTCACTTTTACCTATAGGTCTGCCTACCTGGCAACACAGGGATAAAGCAAGATACCCTACCTAAAGAAGGGGAGGCAAGGTGGTGCAGTGGATAGAGCACTGGGTTTGGAGTCAGGAAGAGCCAAGTTCAAATTCAGCCTGACACCTATTGGCTGGGTAACCCTGGACAAGTCCCTTAACCCTGTTTGCCTCAGTTTCCTCATCTGTAAAATGAGTTGGAGAAAGAAATGGGAAACCACTCCATTATCTTGCCAAGAAAACCCAAAATGGGTTCAGTAAACCAATAACTCCTAGAAGAGATTCTAAGCTCTTTAAAACATAGAACAAAGACATTCCTGGCTAAGTAGCTGGTACCCTCAGGCTCAAGTCTCTTTTGGACTCAACTTGTCTGTGTGCTTGGGGGTGGGACAAGGGCCGGACCCTGTAGGCAACCTCACTGGTTGAACTCCAACCAACTGTATTCTCTACCCCCCCACCCCCTACCCCAAATTGCTAGATATTAGGGACTAGTACCAATGAAACTAAAGTTCATTTAACCATCTTAGTTAATGAGTTTCAGTTTCCTTTTCAGTGAAATGAAGTGATTGGATAGACAGCTTCTGAGGTCCCTTTCATCTCAGGATCTATGTTGCTCTTTTATTCATGCCAAAGAGCCTAGAAGGTCAGGAGATTTTAAAGCCTGCTCCCCTTGATGTGTGTGGTCATGATTTTGGCCTCTGTCTTGGGAATGAGAATAGTTGTAAAACTTTAGGATATCCTGCTTGTAGGTGTTAAAAAATTTCCAGGTAAGTTTTCCAGAATGATTTAGCTATCTTCCTTTGTCTATTGCTGAGCCAGTAGAACAAAATGGTACTTAAGAGTGTGAATTCTTAATACAACTCTAAAAATGTCTTTCTTAGACTTTGGAAAGTAATTTATCCATTTGGTAGTCAAATGAGGGTGATGAGAGAAGCCGCTTTCCAATTTGATATCAATTATACATGTGAAGTCTTGTGAGATGTATTTCCACATTACCCATGTTGCAAAAGAAAACATAAATGAGGGGTAGCTAGGTGGCACAGGGGATAGAGCAAGGGCCCAGGAGTCAGGAGGACCTGAGTTCAAATCTGGTTTCAGACACGTGATACTTACTAGCTGTGTGACCCTGGGCAAGTCACTTAACCCCAATTGCCTCACCGAAGGAAAAAGAAAGAAAAGAAAACATAAACAAAGTAAAACAATAAAAATAGAGTAAAAAGAGGCTTCAATTTGCATTGAGTTCATCAATTCTCTCTCGGGAGGCAGACAGCATTTTTCATTTTGGGTTCTTAGGAATTGTCTTGGATCATTGTCTTGATCAGAGTAGCTAAGTCTTTCACAGCTGATGCATCTTTACAATAATATCACTGCTACTGTGAATGATGTTCTCCTGGTTCTGCTCACTTCACTTTGCATGAGTTCATATGTCTTCCCGGATTTTTCTGAAACCATCCTGCTTACCATTTCAATAATCATAATCATCATAATCATATACTGTAGCTTATTCAGCCATTCCTCAGTTGATGGACATCCCCTTGATTTCCAATTCTTTGCCACCACAAAAAGAGCTGCTATAAATATTTTTGAGCAGATAGTTTCTTTTCCCTTTTTATAATAACAGCTAATGTTTATATAGTGCTTACTATGTGCCAAGCAATTTTCAACTATTATCTCATTTGATCCTCACAACAACACTGGGAGGTGGATGCTATTACTATCCCCATTTTCCAGATAAGGAAACTGTGGTCAAGTGACTTGCCTAGGGTCACATAGCTAGTAAGTGTCTGAGGCTGTATTTGAACTCAGAACTTCCTGTCTTCAGGCTCAGACCTCTACCTACTGTACCACCTAACTGTTAGGGAACAAGGAACTTTTCTGATTGGGGTTGCTTCCAAGATAATTGGCAATAGACAGATTCCTGTCAGAGAAGCACTCCCTGTTCCTTGTCCCCAAGGCTTGTAGTCTATAAAGCTGCTCATTTCTTTTCTGCCCCTCCCCCCTCTTTCCCCTTGCATTTTTAGATCAGAAGGCAGCAAGAATGGTAGAGGGGAAAGGATTTCTCTGTATCCATACTCCCCTTATGGACTGGTGATGTTCAGGAGAATCATGTGGAGAGCACATGCCCAGGCAAAGTTCCTGGCATTCTTCTTCTGCATTTCTGTTTCTTTTTCTGGGCATAGCTCAGACATCAACTAGCAATCCTGAGAGTGGATGTTTCAAGCTTTGGAAATTACCTTCTTAATAAGGTAAGGAAGTATCTGGGTGGCACAGTAGATAAAGGGCTGGATTTGGAGTCAGGAAGACTTGATTTTGAATCCTAGCCCAGATACTTAACTACTAGTAAGTCAAGTCATTTAGCTGTTCTCAACCTCAGTTTCCTCTTCTATAAGATGGGAATAATAATAGCATTTACCTTATTGTGCTGTTTTGTGGATCAAATGAATTAACATGGAGAACGTTTTTTGAACTTTAAAGTGCCATATAAAAGACAGCTTTTGTTATCAACATCACTGTCATCAGAAATAACAATCCAGGGTTCTAGAGTTCTTAAGTTTGAGAGTTTGGGGACTGGGCTCCCAGAGGGAGAGGATTTCCTTAATAGTGAATTTTTACAGGGTGTAAGGAATAACCTCTCTCCGAAGCACTCCTGCAATTCTATCTTTTGTTGCTGCTCAGTTGTGTCCAATTCCTCGTGACCCCATTTAGAGTTCCCTTGGCAAAGATACAGGAATGGTTTTCTATTTCCTCCTCCAGCTCATTTTTATGGATGAGGAACCTGAGGCAAACAGGGTTAAGTGACTTGTCCAGGGTCACAAAGCTAGTGAGTGTCTGAGGCTAGATTTGAACCAGGAAGATGAGTCTTCCTGACTCCAGGTCTGGTACTCTATCCACCTAATTGCCCTAATTCCATCTTTAGAGAATATTCATATTCATGAGCCTTTCTCCTCACCCCCTCTCTGATGTGTTCTATGTAGAACTGCTGAAGGTAGAATTCTTCCAAGTGAAAGCTCATTTCTAAATGGTCCATATTTTATTTGTTTTGATAGTACCTACAATGCCTGACAAGTTAGCAAGTAAGAAATGTTAAATGAACAACCAATAAACGAACATGAACACGAAATGTTGTATTGGAACAAAATTTAACAATTCATGACTGGCTTAGGGAAACTTAATTCACATAGTGGTTGCAAAAAGTGAAACCACAAATATGAAGCCTCTTGAAGAAGAGAGAGAGAGAAAGCTGATGTTGAGTAGTGAGGAGTACCATCTCTCCTCCACATTTAGAGTCTAAACAATAACAGTGATTGCAGAAAAAAATAAGTGAAAGGACAATGCTGAATTGGTCCCACAAGAACATCGCAAGACTAACAGAAACTAGAAAGTAACATTAGAGTTCATGAAATGCTCTATTATGGAGCAGTGCATGGTAGTAAACTGTCCAGCCTGCCACTCTATCATCTTGAAAGCAGAGTTGGAGGAGATAAAAAGAAACAAATGATTCTCCACTCACCAATCTTGACCATGTCCTCCAACTTTCTTTCCCCCCATCCCCATCTTAATACCTGTCTCTGCCTTTGGGCTTGTGGGGGTAGGGTGGGGTGGGGTGGAATGAGAAGTGAAGAAGTGGATCTATTGTGAATTTAGAATTGGTATGACATTGTTGTTGTTCATCCTTTGTTCTCAAAGAGGACCAATGACATTAGCGGAGTGGCATCTTGGTTTTCCTGTGAATTGGATTTAAGTGAGGCAGAGCTGAGTAAAGTCATCACCCTCGCTCTCTCCTTGAGTCATTGAAGTCCATCAGAAATCATCTAGTCCAATTTTCTCATTTTTACAGATAAGGAAACAGGATCAGAGAAATTGTGACTTGTCCCCAATCACACGACCAGTAAATATCAGACATGAGATTTAAACCCAGTCTTTTGACCCTAAGTCCATCATGTTTATCTGCTACATCACAGTGAGAATAATATGAGGTCTCTTAAGAAGCATTCCAGAGCAATTCAAGTTGAGATGGAGAGAATTAAAACCATTGTAAAAGCTTTCCTAATGATAGACTTTAATTCTTTAACCCCTTGTCTTTAAAAAGAAAAGAAAAGATATAATATGAGTTTTGAGTTTCCATTGTCTCAAACACTCTGGGGGTGATTATGTCTCATTTTTCCAGAAATATGATCCTTAGTATGTGAGAGTCAACTCTCAGGTTTCATGAGGAATTTTTTAGAATCCCAAGAATACTGCACTTTGAAAAGGGCCAAATTTAGGAAATTATGATTCATGTATCACTTAGCTAGGATATTTCTCCGTGCCTAGTGACAGTTCTCATAGTAAGTGCTGATTTATTGCCTCATAACCATGAACAGATCTGAGTGTACCATTGATTTTATTGTTTCATCTGTGAGAAAATACAACGCCAGGGAAATATCACAAGAAAAGCAAGCCAGATCCATCACATCTAATGGAAAATATGCTTTCTTTGACCTTAAGGCAAACCTCATTAGGATAAGATAGTAGATATTGAGTTCAAAGCTTGTAATTTGATTAATTATGATGCATCCAGGTCTTACACTGGATAGAGTACAGAGCCAAGAATTAGGAAGACCTGAGTTGAAATTTCATCACTCTGGGTAAGTTGCTTAATCTGTCAATCAATAACATTTACTAAGTACCTACTATGTGCCAGGTATTGTGCTATATTCTGAAGATACAAAAAGAGGCAAATAGTCTCTGCCCTCAAGAAGCTCACTATCTAATGGGGATACAACAAGCAAACAGATATGTATAAACAGTCTATATACAGGTCAAATAGGAAATAACTAACAGAGCAATAGCACTGGAATTTAGAAGGGTTAACAAAGTCTTCCTGTAGAAGATGGGATTTTAGCTGTGATTTAAAGAAAGCCAGGGGAGCTAATAAGTAGAGCTGAGGAGGAAGAACATTCCAGGCATAGAGGACAGCTCGAGAGAATGCTGAGAGAGTCAGCGTCTTGTTTGAGGAGGCCAGTGTCACTGGACTGAGGAGAATAGAGCAGAGAGTAAGGTAATAAGATGACTGGAAAGGTGGAGAGAGGGGAGGGACTAGGAAGGGATAGGTTAGAAAGAGTTTTGAATGCCAAAAGAAAATTTGTATCTGATTCTAGAGGCAATATGGAGCCATTGGAGTTTATTGAATGAGTAAATGAGTGAATGTGTGTGTGTGTGTTTGTGTGTGTGACATGTTCAGACTTGTGCTTTAGGAAAATCACTCTGTTAGTTGAATAGAAGATGGATCAGAGCAGGGAGAGACTTGAGGCAGGCAGACCCACCAATAGGGTATGGCAACAGACCAAATATGAAGTGATGAGGGTCTACACCAGAGGAGAAAAGGAAGAGTATTGGAGAGATGTGGTAAAGGTGATATTGACAGGCCTTGGCAACAGATCAGATATTGAGGTGGGGGAAAAGAGGAGCGTTAGTGAAGAGTAAAGGATGACACCTAGGTTGTGAGCCTGAGGGACTGGGAGGATGGAGTTGCCCCCTATAGAAATAGGGAATTTAGGAGCAGGGGGGAGGATTTAACAGGAAGGATAATGCTCTTAGTTAGATGTCTGCTAGACATCCAGTTTGAGATGTCTGAAGGAAAGTTGAAAATGTAAGACTGGAGGTCAGCAGAGAGGTTAGGACAAGATAGGTATATTTGGGAACCATCAGCATGGAGATGATAATTCAATTCATGGGAATTGATGAGATCACATATAGAGGGGGGAAGAGAAGAGGGCCTGGAGAAGGATCCAGCCAAGAAGACTGAAGCGAAGGTCAGATAAGCAGGAGGAGAACCAAGAGAGAGTGGTGTTGGGAAAAGCTGGAGAGGAGAGAATATCAAGGAGGAGAGAGTGATCAAAAGCGTCAAAGGCTGCAGAACATTCTAGAATAATGAGGACTGAGAACAGTCCTCAGATCGAATTTGGTAACAGAGATATTGGTAGCTGCAGAGAGCAGTGTCAATGGAATGAGAAGATCAGAGTCAGATGGTAAGGGGTTAAGAAGAGAGTGAGAGGAGAGAAAACAAAGGTACGGATTGTAAACAGCCTTTTCGAGTTTAGCCACAAGGGGCAGAAGAGATACAGGATGTTAACAATGGTCAGTTTCAGTTTCCTCAGTGGTAAAATGTGACTAATGATGGAACCTGCCTCCCAGGGCTGTTGTGAGGATCAAATGAGGCAATATTTGTAAAAACCTTAGCACAGTATCTGGCACACAGTAGGTGCTCTAAATAAATGCTTATTTACTCCTTTGCTTCCTTGTCTTCCCTCGTTATTCTCTAAACATGATGTGGGTAGCATGGCTGATTTCTTCTTGGCCTCTAACCCAGCCCAACCTGGTCCCTCACCCAGATGTCTTAGTCTTCCTTTCGCTGTCCTGATATAGATATCCTTCCCATGATTTCACCATACCCTAAGTCTTAATTCTATCGAGTTATCGGTTTACTTATTCTCTCCCCATTGATTACAATATATGCAGAAACATTGTTTCTTTGGAAATATCGTCCCATGCAATGTTGTTTCAACTTACAAAGAGTTTTTTTTTCTTTCTTCAGAACCTATTTATGATATCAGGGGGGATGTCATTAACAATTTCATACATAAGACAAATTATAAGACAATATTAAGTGACTATCAAATGACTGATCAAATCTCAAACCTGCAATCCATGAGCCCTACTTGGCTTCTCAGCAGTACCTTCCCCATCTGCCAGGAATGTTATGCTGCTCTCTGTCCCCTTGTGAGATAAATATATAAATATATAATCAGTTGAATGAAGCTTTGTGATGTGTTTAGATAGTAGTGTTATAAATGCAAAACAAACATAGACTGAGACCACCAAGCAATGGTAAGTGCCACAAATTCAGAAAAGAGACCATTGCAGACTGGAGTTACCTGGAAGCCTTTAAAAATGTCTAAGGGCTTTCTTTAATAATTCTACAGAACTAATAGCATTGTTCAGAAAATAATTAAGGTTTGCAGAATGTTCAGGGCTCTGATAGGTCCTGAAAGCATTGTTTGCCAAAGAGGTATAAGAAAAGTATAACTGATATAAATAAATATAGTAAATATTATATGTGACATAGTACAGTAAATAGTATATAGTAAATATAGTAAAATAGTACAAAAGTATATATTTTGAAGGTATAAGAAAGTTTTGAAGGCATGTCTTTTTCCTTTTTGTATTTTTTAATTAAAAAAAGCTTTATTGATGTGTGTTTTTTTACATTTACAAATTACTCTCACTTTTTGAGAGATCTTTCATAACAAAGTAAAATAGCTAAATAAACTAATAATACAGTAACTTTGTGTGCAAATGCATGGGATATTTCATATCTGTAACAACCTCCCCACCCTATTAAGGAGAACTTAGGATGATGGGAGGGATTGGGAGGAAAAATAATGAGTTCAGTTTGGACATTCTGTAATTCAGATGTCCACAAGACATACAGTTCAAGATATCCAATGGGCAATTGGAGATTTAAAACAGGAACCTTTAACTTTCCTTCCTCCTTAGTTTGTTATTGTTTAATCATGTCCAACTCTTTGTGACCCCTTTTGAGGTTTTCTTAGCAGAGATACTGGAGTAGTTTGCCATTTCCTTCTCCAGCTCATTTTATAGATGAAGAAACTGAGGTAAATAGTGTTAAGTGACTTGCTCAGGGTCACATAGCTAGCAAGTGTCTGAAGTAGGATTTGAACTGGCTCTAAGCCTGGTACTCTATCCACTGTACCACCTAGCTGCCCCCTCCTTAGTCTACAGAGGCATTAATGTCAGCTCTAGCTTCCCAGAATGAAGTCCCCTGCAGAGGGACAACAGATAAACTGATGATGAAGGAAATGAACAGAACCAGGAGAACAAATTTTACAACACTGTAAAAATAAAAATTTGAAACAGTAATGATCAATGCTGTAACTACTCATGATTCCAGAGGACTGATAATAAAATACGCTATCCATCATGGAGACATGAGACACACACACACACTCTCTCATATATGATGTATGTATGTGTTTATACACACACACACACACACACACACACATATTCTCTGAGAGAATTTGTTTTTCTTGACTGTGCATATTCCCCCCCCCCCATAAAGTGGAAGTGAAAGGAAGAGAAAAACCTTATGCTCACTAGAAGGGTGGTCCCTAGTTTGGCTGACTCCATCTTCCCCTCGGAGTTCTAGGAATACTCTCAAGGGGAAGGTGGTTCTACCACTTCCAAATGGAAGGGCATTTCCCTCTTATTTCTGTTGAGTAAAATGTATTTCTATACTCGCTTTACTGTGTGTATATTCTTCCCACCTTTGACCAGTTCTGATGAGATTGAGATCCAAGCATTAGCTGCTCTCTCCTTCCCCCCCCCTTCTTCTTTGTATAGACTTCTATTTGGACACCCTGATAATGTGAGATCATTTTCTCTGACCTTTCTTTCCCTTCCTTCCCAGTGTATTTCTCTTCCCCTCTCTTTCCATTCTTCTGCTAACATCATCAAGACATAACAGGACCATTCCTAGGCCTTTTGTTTAATTAAACTCTTTCTTTGACCACATGTATCATCTCCCTACATTAGAGTATAAGCTTTTTATCTTCATTTAGCCCTTTATGATTGTCGATGTTTATCTTTTATATTCTCTCACCTCATGTATTTGAATGTCAAAATTTCTATGTTGTTCTGCTATTTCATCAGGAATGTTTGGAAGTCCTCTATTTCATTATAGGTCAATTTCCCCCTCACCCTCCACCCTCATAGGATTATACTTAGTTTTGCTGGATAAGTTATTCTTGCCTTCTGGAAATCATATTCCAAATTCTTCTGTCCTTCATAGTGGTAGGAAGGAAGGAAATAAGCATTTATTAAGTACCAACTATGTACCAGGCATTCAAATATTATCTCATTCTGTTTTTACAACAACCCTGGTAAGTAGGACCCATTATTATCTCCCTTTTATAGTTTTGAGAACTGTAGGAGACAGAAATTAAGTGACTTACCCAGGGTCACACTACTAGTAAGTGTCTGAGGCTGGATTTAAACTCAAGTCTTCCTGACTCTAGATCCAGTACTGTCTACACTCTGCCACTTCACTGCCTCTATCATGGTGGCTGATAAATTGTGCTTGATCCTGACTATTGCTCCCTGGTACTTGAATTCTTTCTTTCTGGCCACTTGCAATATTGCTGGATTTTAGCTGGAATGTTTGTAGGAGTTTTAACGTTGAGGTTTCTTTCAGAAAGTGACCTGTGGATTCCTTGTTTCTACTTTGCCCATCAGTTCTAAGAGATCTGTGCCATTTTCTTTTTAAGATTTCTTGAAATATGATATCCAGACTCTTTTTGGATTTTAGGTAGTCCAGTGATTCTTAATATTTTTCTCCTCATTCTGGTTTCCAGGTCAGTTGTTTTGCTGATACCTCACTTTTTTTTCCTTCTATTTTTAAAAGTCATATGATTTTATTTTAGTATTTCTTGTTGCTTCACAGAGCTATTGGTTTCTATTTGATCCATTCTGATTTTCAGGGAGTTTGTTACTTGGGCAAGGTTTTGTACCTCTTGTACCAAGCTGTTAATTCTTTTGCTTTTGTTCTTTTTTTGATTCTTTCTTT